GACAAAGCAATGGCCTCGTAACTGTGAGGCCCCAGGATCAAAACCGTGTCGATGTGCTATATCAGTGCCCTTTTGTGGGGCATTAATCCTCATTACTGTCATTTATGACTTAAGGGCATAGGTCCCCTAGTTGATAAGCATAGAAGCATACACATGCTTTAGCAGTCACGCAAAACACACATTGGCAAATTATTATTCAATAAAATCTGAGAATGTATACTATTATCTAGATCTACTATTTTTAAATTATTCTTAAAATAATTCCATAAACTGGGGGATAAAAAAGAATATTCCACCTTTATGAGCGACAGTGTACCAAAACCGGAAATTTTTATCCCATTTGACCCAAATGCCAAAACCGGAAATTTTTATCCCCTTTGACCAAAGTGCCAAAACCGGAAAATTTTATCCCCTTTGACCCAAATGCCTAAACCGGAAATTTTTGTCCCCTTTGACCAAAGTGCCAAAACCGGAAATTTTTATCCCCTTTGACCCAAATGCCTAAACCGGAAATTTTTGTCCCCTTTGACCAAAGTGCCAAAACCGGAAATTTTTATCCCCTTTGATCCAAATGCCTAAACCGGAAATTTTTATCCCCTTTGACCAAATACCAAAACCGGAAATTTTTATCCCCTTTGACCAAAGTGCCAAAACCTGAAAATTTTATCCCCTTAGACCCAAATGCCTAAACCGGAAATTTTTTATCCCCTTTGACCCAAATGCCAAAACTGGAAATTTTTATCCCCTTTGACCAAATACCAAAACCGGACATTTTGATCCCCTTTGACCAAATGCCAAAACCGGAAATTTTTATCCCCTTTGACCAAAGTGCCAAAACCGGAAAATTTTATCCCCTTTGACCCAAATGCCAAAACCGGAAATTTTTATCCCCTTTGACCAAAGTGCCAAAACCAGAAATTTTTATCCCCTTTGACCATATACCAAAACCGGAAATTTTTATCCCCTTTGACCAAAGTGCCAAAACTGGAAATTTGTATCCCCTTTGACCAAATGCCAAACCGGAAATTTTTATTCCCTTTGACCCAAATATCAAACCGGAAAATTTTATCCCCTTTGACCCAAATATCAAACCGGAAAATTTTATCCCCTTTGACCAAATGCCAAACTTGAAATTTGTTATCCCCGTTGACCAAATGTCAAACCGGAGTTTCTTATCCCCTTTGACCCAAATATCAAACCAGAAAATTTTATCCCCTTTGACCAAATGCCAAACTTGAAATTTGTATCCACTTTGACTGAAAGCCTAACTGAAATTTGTATCCCCTTTGACCAAATGTCAAACCGGAAATTTTTATCCCCTTTGACCAAATGTCAAATCCATTGAATTTAACCCAGGCCAATTTAATGACCCTTCACCAAATGCTCAAATCTGGTATCATTCATTATTTACGAAAATAGATAAACCTTATACAAATAAGACGTACATAATTATGTACAACTAGAATTTAATTCGTCACGAAGACGAATAAGGTGGTCTGTCTAAGTCTTATGATAGATTTGAGAATGGGAGAAGTTATATAGACATGTAAACAATGATGATCATGATGAACATGGTGATGATCATGATAGTAAAGGTGATGATGATGATGATGATAATGATAATGTTATATGACGATAAAAACGATAATGTTAATGATGATGATGAGCATAAGCATGATCCTGACAACTGATTAAAAAAATGAGGAAATATTTAGATAGCAAATAGTCTCAGCTACAACATACTAAAATTTGGGAGAAAACTGTTGAATAACAACCGAGATACTGGTCAAAACACCTTGTCATGCAGATTCATGTTTTGAAAAAAGTGACCTCCCATAGACATAACACGCAAATATAACAAATTATGCATTGTCGTCTTTAATCGAATATTTAAGTATGATGACGTCATTTAAATAAAAAATAAATGAAATATTTGTGATAGAGAATTATCTCAGCTACAACATATCAAAATCTGGAAGAAAATCGATCACCGATAAGTGAGATAATCTCAATTAAACAAAGACAAAAATGACGTCATCAACAAAATACATTTTTTTGAGTTTAGATGCCAATATTAAGACTTTGTTTCACTTTGTACGAGTCAGGGTGGTATGAAATCATATCTCCAACTCATGTTTTTTCCAACCATGATATAAAAATTGGGGGTCAATGGACTATCTGAAGAGCTATTTCGTTTTTTAAAATGGCATGTTTTTGATCAAATTTGCATTATATTGCCCATAGCAGCACGCGCGGATTTTGAACTTTGACGCGCGCTCACGGCCTTATGAAAGGTCAAGAGTGACTGAAATTAATGTAAATTGTCAATTCCGTTTAGAGGAATCCAAATCATGTAAACATTTTGAATTTAACCTTTTCCGCGCGCTGTGAGCGCGCACACCGCGCGCGGGGACACGAACGGACGGAAAATGTTGAAATGCTTAAAATGACCTGATTCTTACTCTCGTTTAATAGTTAAGTGATTTTGAGCAATTTTAAATTTTGACGCGCACGTACGCGCGCGTCATGACCTTTAGGTGACCTTTGATGACATGACCTGTTGACCCTTGACCTGAAGTATGTGTTATATTAATATAAATGACCTTTGATGACGCGTCATGAAGATATGATGGATAATGTGATTTCACAAAATGGCGCCTGGATGACGTCACGATAATTTGATGACCTTGAAAATGTTCCTGTCACGTCTCATAATGATGACCTATGACTGTGCCGAAATTGAACGACTTCGACTGAACTGATCTTGAGTTATCCTCTGAACAAAAAAGGGGGGAGAAATAAATAAAAATAAAGAATAAATAAAGAAAGAAAATTCTGACGAAAACAATAGGTGATCTGTTTTCAACAGACCACCTAATAAACGTACTAAATGATTCCAATTGCATTAGCCAATAGCAAAACCACATGGTAAAATGAGAACAGGTTATACTATCTGATTTTACAGATAGCTAAAGTGCTTAACCCATACATAAAACATGTCAATTCATTCCTTCTTTAACCCAAAACTAAACTTTTTCACAAAAGTGATAAATATTGTTCATCTTGGTTAAAAGCTCAACTCAATCATGAGTTTGGTAAATAGCATCCCTTGTTTTCATCCCTGAAATATATGGTTGTCCAAATAAAGTTGATGAAAATACCATTTGAAAGCTTCCTGCATCCTAGTACTCTTTGTACAATATTGTCTTAATTCTTTCCTTTTTTAAAATATCCATACACCAAAAAAGTTTGAATTCATTAAGTACTGCGAATGAATAGAATTACACACCAAATACCGTGAATGATGTGGAGTCAAGCAGGGTGGGTACATGCATGGCAATGGAAATCACACAAGAGAAGCATGCAAAACAAAAGCTTCACATAGTTTGAGCTGAATCAATAACATTTCAATAAATGAAGAATTTCATCGCAAGATGCAATAACCTAGTCTCCAAATATTTTCAACTTTATATATCGACAAGATGAATGCAACTGTATTGCGTCTGCTACATACCTCTGCCTAAATTCAGTTAATTTCATGGCTCAAGCTGTTCTTGAAATAATGTGATAACCAGAATTAAAGCCTACAATTAAAATTTGAATTTAATTTTAATTACCTTTGACCAACAAGCCGAAAGGTCTGATCACTTTATTATCCTCTTATTAGTCATGCAAACAAAATAGTTGAGATATGGTGATACCAAGCTTAACAAATGTTTAATTTCATGCATATTGACTTATATGACCTTTGACCTACTAAACCTACTCACTATGGTGATGCCTAGTAGTACCAAGATTGAAATTCACAGCTGTAACAGTTGAGATATACAGTCAGACCGCTGCACATCACTAATGAGCATATCATGCGTAAGTAATTATCATGCGCCTCAAAACAGCAAGAAGAATAATATCCTCAAATGAGAAGCTACGATATCGTGAGAGAATATTGCAAGGAATGGCGTAGACTCAAATTTCTCGCGCATGCACAGTTCTTGAACAGCCACGTTTGCATAAGTTGATCTCCAGAAAAATTTCCTTTCAAATGATGAAATGTTAATACATTTCCGCTAAATTTACGCTTGTACAGCACTGAGTCTAATTTTGAAAAGTTTTTGTTCCTAGTTTTGTAACTAGATTTTCTTTCCGTGAACCTGACCCGTTCGAAAAAAGAAAATATATTTTGATGTTGATACGTGTTCATCAATGTCTGAAATTGCCAAATCAGTTGTCTAATTTGAGGTTCCCCAACAGAAAATTAGTGAAGTCTGCATGCTTCCAAAATTCACATGAAAATCATGTTTTCACCAGAAATTGATACTCAAAGTTTGGTAAATTGGCACAAAATGGTCTAAAACGCATGCAAAATGGTCCTCCTCATCAGTGAAGTTGTGTAATTTTGTAACCCAAATTTGTATGGGCGGGCGCGTACTATTCTTCAACTGGTAATTTCTTGAAACGAACACTACATTTTTTCAATTTCAAACGTATCACTATGTCCATGGTCAATCTTTGTAATCGATAAATACCGATCTAATAAAATGAAATGGGGTTGAAATAGCGCCATTATTCGCGCCTAGAAAACAGAACTCGTAATCATACGTTCGTACATTTTTGACGAATGGTAGTTCGGTAGGTGATCAGAAATGTTTGTATTCATATATCTTCTTAATGTTGAATTTTTTTTTTAATAAATGAATTTGACGCGTTCGAATCGCTACACTCTATACCGATTCCTAACAATGTCCAAAATAAAAATGAATTAAAACTGTTGTAAACAGTTGGAGAATAAACAGCGTTTTACTGAACCACCTCTGTGGACATATTGCATTTTGCTTATATCTTAAGAATCCATGCCCCTGACAAACACTGTCCGTTATCCTGAAATCAAACTATGTATTTATCCCTTAATTCCTTGAGCTCTGCTTGCATTTCACCTGATAGTTTAGATGTTCTTGTAAGTTCAAATGGGGCAGTGATGACAGCAGACTCCGGGACCCACTCTATAACCACGCTTGTTGCTCTCCTGATGTTGAAATTGTGAGTGGGTCCCACTGTGATGTGGCAGTACCAGTGTACCAATGTACATGTAGCTCTCCTGGTATGGTGTCTACTACTCTGCCAATCTGGGGCCATTCGTGGTGGTATTTGTCCAGATAGAACGCCCTCATGTTTCCCTCTGATGTCAGAACGGATTTTGTTTTTTTCTTTTTTTGGCCGATGTAGACCTGGAATAGTTGAGAGGCAAAGGGTATCATATGAAATTATTAACAAATTTCTTTTCTATTCAAAATTGCACACAGTCCAAATAATAGTTAAGTCTTGGCAGCATTACATTATTAGATTATTAATGACAATTCACCACTTTTAATTACCTTATGTTAATGATGTTCTATCTATTCACTCCTCATGGACATATTTTTATCAGCAGATCTGAGATAGTACTATTGTGGGGGAGGATCATTAAGAATAAGTAAATTTCAATTTATTTATAAACAATTAATGTCTGCCACGACTACTTTGTAACAGTCCTTTTTTATAACACTACTATTTTTGAATTTCACAAGGCATATTACATGGGGAGATTGGTCAACATATTGATGATAGGATTTGCTAAATTACCCTTAACAAAAACCTCAGCATTGTATATCATCACTCCATGCAATAAATTCATGGTGAATGGTCTTACACTATCAGGACAATGTAAAATATAATGCTATTATTAAAATCGAAAGAAATGGAACGGTGGAGACATAAAAAGATATCTGCTTTAAACTCACTTGACATGGAACTTCCTCTTCTACCTCTGATTGATATGTGCTTGAAGACCCAGAGAGTTGTAGGCAGAGCTCATTCTCATGTTCTTCGGTGAGCAGAAGATCCATCAATGGCCAGTGACAGTAGAATTCTGCTTCACCTTCATACAACAACAAAAACACAAACAAAATATATAAACCATTTTGTCTCTTTAATATCAACTTTAAAAATAAAATCATCTAGATTTACAGTATTTACACTGAATTATTGTAACATTCAGTTAACTAAGTTGACAAGATAGCATCACCACCATCTGCTGCAATTGAAAAACTTAGTAAAGACACAAGTGAATGTGTCAGTAAAACAGAATTTAAATTATAACTTTTAAGTATCGGAGGAAAATTAATAATAAAAAAGAGAATTTCATTACCTCTACATATTCATAATTTTATTTATCTTTAATGGCATTTTTCATTCAAAAGGTCAGTACTTTCACAATTTTATAACAATTGCCATTTTCAGGGCAAGGAATTTAAATTGAAAGAAAAATGTGTCAAAACACTATACACGCAATAAGGAGGATGAGGGTCTCTGCTTGGTGCATAGGTCCTTTGACAAGGCCTTCAATCTACAGTTGTCTTTATTGACCCAGGTGTTGCATTGGCGGTTTCATTCCTTGAAATGTACCATGCGCTGATAACAGCGGCTAGAGCTGGACATAAATCTAGGGGAATGTAATAAACCACTTTGGAAGTGCGTGTAGGGCTATATACTGTGGTGTGAGCTATTCAAACATGATGTCATTATCATTGTATGACCCTTTCCCAATGGGAATAGGATGAAAAATGGACATGAGAGAATTATTTCTTACAGAAACCTAACATCGTCTATTTAAATATTCCTTTTGAAACATAGATTACCTTAAATCAATACATGTAAATTCAAAATTAATCTTTCAAGTACCTCTGTCTTCTAAATGAAGCTGGTCGAGTGTTGACCTCCAAGTTTCCATTGCCTCAGCTGTCAAGAATGGCTTCATCTTCATAATTTGTTTGCCAAGACGAGGAAGATCCACCTTCTGGAAGTTTGGCGTGATGATGGTTGGTATTCCATCTGGGTGGTGAGTCAGGAGATGAGGGGAACCGCATGGAGAAATCCATTCAGGGGAGGATGACCACATCTTTGTTGATATGAGTGCACGACCATCTAGACCCTTTGTGATCCGGAAGACATGAGGTCTGCTATGCTGGCTGATGTCCTCAAGGCATGGACCAAGCCACTCCTTGCTGCTGTATATTGGCTGCAACCTCTCTGCTGTTGTCACTCCCTTGTTGAAGGATTTGGGGATTGTGTCGAGCAGTGCATCCAGAGTTGGGACGTTGGTTTTCTTAAGCCTTGTTGATACACGTGAAAAAATTGATCAATATCCTCATGGGTATGACCCACCATTAGGAAACTCACCTTCACCTGATTGCAAAAAGAAAATAGATATATGTCATTAGGTTTTGTTTTTTTAAACCAAATTTTTCCACATTTTCCAATGGCTCAATGAGTGCATGCTTGTGCAAGGGACTGTATTGGAGATCAAAACTGACAAACATAAAATTACCCAATATTAATGCTTATCTCAGGAAAAATTGTCCTTTCTCTTCAGAGTAAGTGTTAATTAGCTCACATCATAGTGCAAAATTTTGTATCTGTTGATAGAGCCATTTATTGGAAATTGCTTTCAAATTTGGTGAGCCTTAACATTGGGCAAGATGTATGACATAAATTGGCTTTCCAAAAAAGTTTTTTATAAGGAGAGTTTCTTTTTCCCTTTAAGATTCTGAAATCTGACAAAATTGATTTGAGCCTAGGTGTAACAACAATTAATTGGCCTTAAAAGGTAAACAGTGTTGAATAGGGTCAAGGATATGGTCAAAATGTCCTTTCCTTTTTGCATCTAGTAGGTCCCATACCAAATTGAGTGTTCCTTCAATGAGATTGAAAACCATGGCCGAGTATGGCCGTTTCCTGGCTTGCATGATCTGCCTCAATGTTTGTTTAGAACAAGCACAGCCTTGATGCTGATGAGAAAATATCAAGCCCAGTTTATGTAAAATCCTGTATTTGCTTCCAACACATATGTAAGATGTGTAATGTGTAAAGAAGTACAGTATATATATATTATTTTTTAAAATTATTATTATTATTATTATTTTTTATTTTTTTAATAAAAAAAAAAAATTATTATTATTATTATTATTATTATTATTTATTTTTTATTTATTTATTTATTCATTTTTTTTTTTTTGGGGGGGGGCGGTGGTGGGGGGTAACCTCATTGTCCTCTTCGCATACTGTAAGATTGAGGACAACTTAGGTAACCCCCAATCACCACCCACCCTATCAAGCTATCAATGAATGATTGGTATTACTTTGATATTTCTGTTGTTTACCTTTTTGAAGACTTCGAGCTCTACAAGAAGGCTCAGGAAGGCAAAAACGTATTTGTTTTTGTTTTCTCGGCCACAATTATCTAGCTGGAGGTACAGGACTTTGGGCAAGTTGGAGGCATATTTTTGGAGTATCCTCAGGAGGACTATAGTGAGGTTGGGATCATGGGGAAATTCGTTCAAATCGATGAACGCATGTTGGCCACGACCATGGACTATACCCCCGGTGACATGCGTTGGCAATTTCCAGGCCCCATTTGTTGACTTTGCCTCCTGCACAAAGTGTGGTATTGATGTAGACTTCTGGTCCATCCCATCTATGATCACTGGATCAGTGAACCCACTGCCACCAAAAGTAGGCAAAATATGCGTATTTAATTGCACAGTTCAGAGGCCTCAAATTAATAATAATCATACGTATCACAACTCGAACTCGAAAAAAAGCATACCTTCATCTTGGACATCCGCCTTAATACGTTTCAATTCTGCTATGCTCTCTTCTGAGAATGTCATCCCTAGCCTGTATCATCATCAAGATCATCAAGATCACCTGGAGGAAATTGAATAACCTTAAGTATAAGACTGAAATGATATCCAAACAGGGGTATAATCAAATATTAGAGATGATCCATCTCATGAGTATTCCTGTTAGCAACAAATTTACCTATGCAGAAACATTATTTAACAGTTTCTGAGGCAATTCAACCCCATGACCAGAACTCAAGTTAGCATTTCACTTATCAGTAATATTTAGGGTTGACTCCAGAAAATGTCAAATAGTGAACACAATTTTATTCTTGCGAGACACAAACACCCTCTTCTCAGAATAGAAATAAATTGATACTGAAAAGGGATATATTTAGGCAATCTACATTTTGTTGTTTCAGATTTTGCATTGCTTTATACCTTCATTCTCAACTTCCATAGCGTCATCATGTTGACCACCATTGCTGCTAGCTCCTCCTCAATATAACCCCTCTGCATCTTCACTGTCTGGAAGAGGCACTAGACAGAGACCAAAAAAGAAATGTACATATATAGCGGATCATTAATCAAGATAAATTATTTTTCTGGTTCCAAGATTTCTTTTCATCTATTATAACCAGATACCCATAGCATAGCTGATCGATACACATTTGCTGATAGTGAAGTGAATGAACGAAAAAATCAATGAAACAATTAGGTAATATCCAAATTGCCCTTCACCCCCATCTCTTCGCTTTCTCATTTTTCATTTCAAAATGTTTGTAATAGCATCCACAAATTGATCTAGATTACATGCATGTAATGAATTGTGATAACAATATTTTTTTCCAAATACATTTTCACTACACTAGACATCCTCTTCCAAGAAATGTGTCCTCAATGAAAATAATTCAAAGGGGAGGGTTAGGCAATGTTGGTTTTGTTATTGTAGACTTTTTGCATTGATTTATACCTTCATTCTCTACTTCCATAGCTTCATGGTCACCACTACTCCTAGTTCTTCCCAAATGTAACGCCTCTGCATCTTCACTGTCTGAAAGAGGCACTAGACAGGCAAAACAACAAAATAGGAAAACAGTTGAACATTAAATGAGGTTTAATGAATGTGAAGGCTGCTTGATTAAATTTTTCGCCCTCCTATGAGCACATTTATTAATTCAAGTAGCTGACCCACATTTCTGTAGGATAATATTCATATCAAGGACTTATTAATTGATATCCTGAATATTTTACATTATATTCCACATACAAAGAATCTTGCACTACGATTGGTCAAAAGTAAATCATGTGATGAAAGATAGTTTGCCCATCATTGATGGCCTTTAGCCCGAATATTAACTTTCCAAAAATTGGCCAGTTTTCCTTTTTTTCTTCATGTATTTCCCATCCTTCACTTCTTTCTGGTTTATTTTCTCTTTTCCTTCTCCTTTCTCTTTTCTCCTTCTCTCTTTCCTCTTCCCTCTCCGTTTTTTCTGCCGACAGCAATTTTGAGTGGGGGGGGGGGGGGGGGGTAGAGTTAATAAAAAGAAAAAGGAAACCCAGATTCGACTCTCAATATTGTTGCAATCAGTATGCCTAGATCTAATTACAGATACTCACATTGTAGTATATTATGTTTTCTTAAATTTGACATCTTAATCAGTAAAATTTGACCATGGACAGCTGAACAGCAGCATTTTTCCTGATTCGACAATTTGCTTCATAAAAGTAACCAACATACCTTTGGCTCCAGTTTGATTTCCATGAAGTCCTTCTACATCGGAGAAATGTATGCAGGCCACTAAATAGAGACAGAGGAAAAATTACATAGAATAAATTACAACTTCGTGTAAAACAGCAACAACTGCATAGCTGCTAAATATGTGCTTGCGGTGCAGTAAGTGAATTTTCTAAAATTCATGCACCAAAATTAATTTTGACCCCCCTCCCCAAAGATCTTGGCCGATTGCCTCAGAAATTTGCATGCATGTCAAGTGAAGTGTATGTTAATATGGTAATATTTCAATTGTTTCAAAAATTTACTCATTTGCATATTTATGGTAATTTATGCTAATAAGGTCATACAATTTCACATTTTTACCTATTAATAATATATTATTCATATTTAAGCATTCTTTTTCACTACATATATTTGTTAGACCATTTGAAATAATAATACAACAAAAAAATGGGAAGAGCCAGGTTATCGCTTATGTTTTCTTTTGTTTTTTTATAATTTCTCATGTTATTTCATTGTTTTTTTAACTTATGTATTTTATTGTTGTTTTATTTCATTTCTAACTACAATTCAACTATTTTTACACCAAAACAAACACCTAAACTTTAAACAAGACCAAATAACCAATGTTTTATCTCTTTTTAGGATTTTTTTTTTTTCCATATCTTTTGTACACAAATCGCATAAATGAGCGATTTTCAGGCTGACATGCAAAGACAAAAGGTCATGTGACTTTGTAACAATACGTCCAATTTTCAAAAAAATTGTTTCAAAAGATGCGTAAGACTCGAAACAAAAAAGTAATGAAAGGAAAACTTTAAATCTGCTGCGGTTCCGATGTAGTCGCTAAATTATTACAGGGGGGGGGGGGGTCAAATTGAGCCCCCCCCCCCGTTAACATAGGGTTAAGCCCTGCATGCTTTGCAAAAATGGCACTATGGAAATTCCACATATTTGAGGCAGACTTTGACTTTTCAGATGGATGTAAAAGTATAAGATGACCATCCATGCCAAGACATTAATGCTATAGACTGGATTGGACACAGTAATGGTATGAGCAGTACCGAGCAGGAACTTGACCATACAACTTACTTGATAGTATTTTAGTACCCTCCTTATGTCCATCGAGCCCTTCAACATCTGAAAACTGGATTCTGCATTCCTCTTCAGACATATCTGCACCTGCGTGTGAAATAACAGAATAATAATAATACAGAATAAACATACATGTACATGTCTAGGCCTAATCAAAATCAATGAAAAAGTATCCCTTATTGAAGGGTATCATCACCTCATCACTCCATCCATATTTCATTAAAAATCAACCAATGTGTACAGAAAGACTCACTCATAACGTCTTATAACTATTTTCATATGGCTCTGCCTCAATCAATAAACTAAGGGTACTACTTAGCCTACACTCATGTTGATTAGCAAAATAGACATAAATTGTCTCATGAGCCCTCAGAGAATGGTCAGAAGTTCCAATAATCAAGATAGTCACATTGGCAACTATCAGAGGAAATTTGATTCTTGAAATATAGTTCTGGTCATTTTTGCCAGTCTGACAGCAAATTTCCTGAAGTGATCGATTCTTGCAAAACTTCCCATAAATGGGTATTAGACTATAACTGGGTGTAAACCATTTGTATTATGGCAAGGAGTGGTAATAGACCAAATTTGGATACAAAGTGGTTATTATTTAGCCCTTCTTATTAACAGGCTGAATGATAATTGGACAAGATGCAGTATTCTAGCTAGTGAACAAACCAGGTGTGCATGAAGTGATATAATAATAATTCTTATGATTTATAATATCCCAAACTCACTCTGTAGAGTGTTGAAGATGCAGAGTACGATAAAGAAGTGAGAAAAATAAAGAGTAGAAATACAACAGAAGAATTCAATAATCAATGGGAAGCATTGAACAAGTAAGTTTTTGATTGCTTTTGAATAAATCTGAAGAACTGCAATTTCTAATTGGAGCAGGACCACCGTGGGCAAAAGCTCATCGTCCCCCCCCCCCTCCTCCCAATGTTTTTGTAGATTTTGGAACAACAAGAGAATCAGAGTTAGATGAATGTAAAGATCTGACAGGAGTGTATTTGTGAACTAGACTTACATTGTAATACGGAGCAGAACCTTTGACACAATGGAAAACAGAACCAAAAATTATTAAATAAGGCGATCTCTGACTGGCAGCCAGTGAAGTGATTTCAGAGTAGGGGTGAAAGGAGTGCGTTTCTTTAACAGGGTACCGTTGCGTGCTGCAGAATTTTGGAGTTTGGACAACTAGGTTTAATGGTGGATTCCAGTATTTGGTTTGATGGTTTATTTTACATACCGGTAAATGCTATTTTACAGGCTTAGTAAAAGACCAAATGGCACCGGACTAAATGGCAATAAACCATTTGCTGCTGCTAAATGACCGTACAACTTACTTGAAAGTTCTGTAGAACCCTCCTTATGTCCATCAAGCCCTTCTACATCCGAGAACTGGATTATGCATTCATCTTCAGATGTATCAACTGTTGATAAGAAAAGAAAAATAAGTTGCATTTGCTATCCAAAGTGGAATAATGGTTTAGGTGGTTTTACTTTTTCAACCTTTTTTTTTTTGGAGTGGATGATAGGATTCTGGTGCAATTTTCTGTTTTTCACCAAAAAAAATCCAAGTTGGATCATACAAGAGGATTGACAAAAATGAGATTGAAATACATGTTCGCTTTATTTTCATCTAGGAAATGCCAAAACTGTAGAGAGTATATTTGAGAAGCTTTTGAATCAGTCAAGCAGCATTGTTACAATTAAATTAAATCCATAATGGCAATTACAACAAAATAGCCAAGTCCTATAAAAAGTGACATCTAATTACCCATCATTGTGTCATATGTCCAATACCTATTTTTTTTTCACTCTAAATATCCACAAAAAACCTGTTCCAATCCAACTAGATATATATAGACCATTAGAAATTGTAGATACTAATGGTAGATTCTCCATCTACATGTATATAAATTGTATACAGAAAGTGTGAAATTGGTAGTATTTATCAGTAAGATCCAAGTCAAGTTAGACCTATATAAAATATGTACCGGTATGTCTTATTTTCTAAACTTGAAATAAGGGGGATGCTATTTAAAAGTGGCACCGGACTAAATGGCAATAAACCATTTGCTGCTGCTAAATGACCGTACAACTTACTTGAAATTTCTGTAGAACCCTCCTTATGTCCATCAAGCCCTTCTACATCCGAGAACTGGATTATGCATTCATCTGCAGACGTATCAACTGTTGTTTAGAAAAGAAAAATAAGTTGCATTTGCTATCCAAAGTGGAATAATGGTTTAGGGGGTTTTAATTTTTCAGCCTTTTTTTTTTGGAGTGGATGATATGATTCTGGTGCAATTTTCTGTTTTTCACATAGAAAAATCCAAGTTGGATCATACAAGAGGATTGACAAAAATGAGATTGAAATACATGTTCGCTTTAATTTCATCCAGGAATTGCCAAAACTGCAGAAAAATATATTTGAGAAAGCCTTTGAATCAGTCAAGCAGCATTGTTACAATTAAATTAAATCCTTAATGACAATAACATCGACTTTCCTCTTTCTTTTTTTGTATGGCCACAGAGCCACACTGAGAGTTGGCTGAAAATATATGAGAGGAGAAAGACGGAATGGGAATCATCTAGTCTAGAAATCTACTGCTTGGTCTATACATAACTTTTGTGCTCTTTCTCTCTCTCTCTCTCTTTAAAGCTAGATCAAGGTATTAAAGCTAAAAAAATGTTGACAAAACATTTTTACAAGTGTGAAGGAGAAAATAATCTCTAAAAAAATAATCACCATGGCAGCAAGGGTTTTAAAAATATGATTTACAAGTTTAACCTAGATGTAGTATTCTCTGATAAAGAGAAAGATCTCAGCTCTATGTGCATTTGTGCCTACTGCAGAATGCCTACCGGGTATACTGATTCATTTAACTTTAACTGGATGTTAGACATTTCCCATTAAAAAAATAAAAATAAAGCGAAGTCCTATCATAAGTGATATTTACTTACCCTTCATTGTGGCATACATGTATGTCCACTACCTAATTTTCGCTCTAAATATTTAAACCCTGTTACCCCTGCTCCAATCCAACTAGATATATATAGACCATAAGAAATTGTAGATACTAATGGTACATTCTCCATCTACATGTATATAAATTTTATATAGAAAGTGTGAAATTGGTAGTTTTTACCTGTAAGATCCAAGTCAAGTTAGACCTACATGTATATACAATAGGTATGTCTAATTTTCTAAACTTGAAAAAAAGAGGGGGATGCTATTTAACAGGTTAGCTAGGTAAAGAACCAAGTGGCACCGGACTAAATGGCAATAAACCATTTGCTGCTGCTAAATGACCGTACAACTTACTTGAAATTTCTGTAGAACCCTCCTTATGTCCATCAAGCCCTTCTACATCCGAGAACTGGATTATGCATTCCTCTTCAGACGTATCAACTGTTGATTAGAAAAGAGAAACAAGTTGCATTTGCTATCCAAAGTGGAATAATGGATTTGTAGGTGGTTTTACTTTTTCAACATTTGTTTTTTGAGTCAATGATAGAATTCTAGTGCACTATAGCTTTCACCTTTTTTTAAATAGAAAAATCTGAGTTGGATCATACAAGAGGATTGACAAAAGTGAGATTGATAACCCCTGTTCAAATCCAACTAAGGAAGCTATGTATAGGTCAAACAAAATTGTGAATACAAATGGAAGATTCTCAATGGATCCGTCCAGAAAGTTAGGGCAGTTTTGTGACAAATCAGAAACTATGTCTCCTATCAACTGTAACAATAACGTTGCTCAAAATTGAGTTTAGCATAAACAGCCTATATAGCCAACTGTCTTTTATAGTAAAAGTACTCAAGTTTCATGGTGAATCAGTATTATAGACCCAAAGTTTATGTAATGTTATATGAATGTGTCCATCATGTAACGCTAGTAAAAAGAATGTGTATCAAGTAAAGATTTTGAAGAAAAGCAACTAAAACAGGAACAATTCTGGCAGGGCATTATTTATTGCATAAAAATCTTCCAACAGATAATTCATCTTCCAGGTGTATAGTAGAAGATCTCTTACCTATGTTACATGGACACTGTCATATTTTTGCCCCAGCTTCATGGAATGACTCATATATAAATGTATAGACGTAAAAAAAAAAAAAAAAAACATTACTTTATTGTTCAAACTTGCACAACAAAGGAGAAGATACAAAAGCCCAGGACAATTCCATTTTACTGGAAAATGCAGGGCATTAAAATGTAGATATACAGTGTATAATGTTCTATAACTTCAACAAAAATTAACTAATTTTACAACATAGTGAAAACTGAGGAGTTATGGATATTCCTAGCTATGCATGTACATGTACATGTAGATGAAATAAGATGAGCTAAATATTGAAATACAGGAAGTTTGAAATTGGCAGTATTTATTGGTAAGATCCAAGTCAGACCTACATGTATGTATATCCGGTATGTCTAATATTCTAAACTTTTTTTTAAATGTTATATCTTCTTTCTGGCATCAAATGTCTTTAATCTATAGGGACATACTTGGATGCTGTTATTTCGACATACAATGTAGATCTGCATTACAGGTACATCTAAAACTAGATCTACATCTGACCGTTACATCTTGATCTAAACAAAAATGCATGAAATTACAGGGGCACTCACAATTTACTGAGGTTCAAATATTGATATTTGAATCAAGATCAGGATTTAACTTTTATCAAACGTACATGTACTTGTGAATTCAAAATAGTGTTTGATTTTTCGGAAAAATCTAAAGGGGCCGAGCATTGTGCATGTGACGAATAATGAGATTTGAATATTGAAATTTTATATCCCACATTGTACCACGCGAGAAAAAAGAGAAACAAAGAAATACACAAGGAAAGAGCAGAGGATGTAGATACATAAGAAAATTAGACCCAAGGATAGATTACATGAAAAACAAAGAAATACATATGGAAAGAGAGGAGAATACAAAGAGAATTAAACAATGGGAGAAAAAAAAAGACACATACTGTACATGTAAGATGACACAAGAAATCAAGGAAATACCTCAGAAAAATAACAGAGAAGTTGAAAGAAAAAATTCAAATCAGACTCTGGTCTCTAGTTGCTATTGAGATTTTTTTTCAGACATGTGAATGATTGCAGTAAAAGCGACATTCTGATCACGATCAGAATCTTGCCTTTTGGGAGCATGCGAATGCCCCTATTAAGATGAAGTTGTTTTTATGACTTATATTGCACACATAGATCTAATAATGTTACAGTTTTGCATTGGATGTTGTCTTTTGTACCAGTTAGACCATGGCTTTAATTTACTCTTTATCCCTTATGAAGCCACATAGTTTGTACATGAACTTCTGTGTATCTCAATTGTTTTGGTGCAGTTTACAAATCATATAGACTTTTCGTTATTCTCTAACTACCTGCAATTTTCTTCCATTACGGCTGCCTTAAACTTTCATCAACCTTCATTTTAATTTAAAAAGAAAACATGCTTTTCCTTAATTATCCAAACAATATACAAAACTCAGAGTACATGACTGTGTGTGTGTGTACTCGATTACAACTCTTGAAATAATATCATAATCATATAATACATGTAGTAAACACTTGGATTAACTTTTCAAACTTATAAATCTAGTATCTCTAAATTGACAATTAACATTTTCTTTCTTTACTAAGTGTACTAAGATAATCCCTCAGCTTTCTTCACATGCCAAGTTCATGTATTCAAAGAGAAAGGAAGTTAAGAATTTGGGAAAGCTTTGAATTGTGAGAGCCTTTAAAGGCTTTATTGGATTGGTGTACTGCATGCAGCCCTATAATCTCTTCCCATTGTTTCAGGGGGAAGGGGTGTGAGAAGAAAGCCTGTGACCAGACATTTTTTTATACAGTGTGTTATACTTTTAAAAGAAGAGCAATTTAGCCATAAAAAGTCCCTCTTACAAGTAACAGAATTATTTTAATTGATAGAATTAATTAAAAACACAAGGAAGAACTTTGCATGTACATGTATGTACTGAGTATTGCCATTACTCAGATAAATTGTTGCCAACTTAAATGTCATTTTTTGATAAAAGATACATCCAAGTGAAAGTCTTGATTTATTTTCCTTCTCAAATACCAAGAAAAGGAAGTTTTTTTCGTGAATTTGGCAGATTTTTCAAATGCCAATACCAATTCAGGTTCCACATGCTTGTAAAGAACACCATAAAGAGAGAGAGAGAGAGAGAGAGAGAGAGGGGGGGGGGTACCAGACAATAATCTTGTACTAGTAAAAAAAAAATAATCCACTCATTCTATTTACATTCCTATCAGATTCTTCTTAAATTGTCACTGATCTGTTTCTTTTTAAACAAACTTGATTTAGATTTAATGAGAAATGAAAACAGTTAGTAATTGTCATTAGAATTTATATAAAAGATGCTGGATTACCTGATGATAAAAACGACGACATAATTCTTCCTCTGAGACTGTCCCTGTCCGATCGAGTCTGAGCTAGCCTTTGTTGACGTGGTCGTGGACGTATATGGTGAGACGTCGATGACGTGACGTGACTATTAATTGTACAACTTGTACTTGTAGAGAGATCGAGACTTTATTTCGTAGACAAGATCGGGCACCACGCAAATAAAATGCAGCTGCTAACGCCAGGCCAAGGAGGATATTACAAACTCTTTGCTAAGGCCTATAGCCTGCAATCGGCCAGGCCAAATTCACGAACAATAGAGCAATTATATACGTCCGCTCGGATTACGATAATCCATGGTCGAACTTAACTGGTCATTGATCGGCATATGCATGGAGCGCGCGCTAAACAATAGCCACATAGTTTCTCAACTTCAAGATTAAGTTCATTTTCCTCAAAACCAATGATATAATCTTTACATAAAAGAGAGACTGGTTATATCAATATAGTATATTAACATCGATCGATCAGTAGACTTCAACAATGATCACGGTTCGTAAACAAATACGATAAAAGAAGATATACCGTTAAGACCAAACTAGACCTATAACATAATCCTCTAATATTAACTTGTTGACGTCATAAAATGAATGTTTTTATAGGACCCCTTTCCCCGCCCCCCTCCCCCCCCCCCCCCCCCCCCCCCCCCCCCCCACTCAGGTTTCGAAATGACCGCATGCGTGTTGCCAAAATGTCCGGTAAAAGGGTACTTTTCCGTGCGACAAAGTCCGGCCCGAGATTATTGTAAAAAAAGGGGTGTATTTGAATTTTCACCCGGAGATTTCTTTAGGGGGTGTTTTTTTTTCTTCCCCCCCCCCCCCCCCCCCCCCCCCCCCCCCCGCCACTGAGCGACATTTCGGCTGGCTGAGTCGTTGCGATTTTTTTTGGCTCAAAAAAAAGAAAAAAAGTGTACGCTTACCTTTTGGGGGGGGGGGGGAATGAGTACTAAAAACAAAATGGTTCCCCCCCCCCCACCTTTTTAACACAAAGAAATAAGGTAAAATTGTGGTAACCATCTTTTTTACCGTCTTTTTTTTTGCCACTAGGTGGGTGCCCGTCATTTGTTTAATACTGTTTTGTTTTCCAGGGGTGGGGGCCCGTCTTAATATATATATATATATATATATATATATATATATTTGCCAATGGTGGGGCCGCCCCCCCCCCCTGGATCCGCCACCTTGGTTAGAATCCGATGATGAAACAAATAATCGTCACGTGATCTTTCTCCCAATACGTTTCAAAACGTACTTATTTGGTTTCACTTTAGTCCCATAATAGTCTGCAAAGTTTAGCTTCATGATTGAGTTACCATGCCTTCTATAATTCTCAAAATCATACTGATTTTTCATTGTTATGGTTACCTCTATTACTTCTGTTATGTCTGCCTTTCAACTTTCATCAACCTTAATTTCAATTTAAAAAGAAAACTTCCTTTTCCTAAAGACAGTATCCAAACAATATACAAAATTCAGAAGAGTCAGACTGCATACAGCAGTGAAAGGTAATACAAAGTATGGGTGTACATGACTGAGTGTGTGTACTCAATTAAAGCTCTTTAAATGATATCATAATTATAATAATAAACACTTGGACCCGCACTTGGACTAAAAATTTAAAACCTTTAAATCTAGTATCTCTTTATTGACAATTAATGTTTTATTTTTCTTTACTATGATCGAGTCTACTAAAAAGAGGTGAACTCTCAGCTTTCTTCACATACCGAGTTCATGTATACAAAAAGAATTGTGAGACCTTCTTTTGAAGCATTTTTGAATAAGTAAATAAAAAAGTAAAAAAGGGAGAGGGGTGTGCGCACTCACGCCCCCTAGACCCCCCCCCCCTCGGTCGGGGAGGGGAGTGTTACGCCTAGAAAATATAAATTACGTAATTCATGTTTCAAACCTTTAATACTCTTCTCGTATGAATAGGCACCCTCTTCTCGTATTACTATGAATAGGGACCCCTTGATTATGTAACGATCCCGATTTTGTATTATGAATAGCGAACCTCCCCTCATATTATGAATTTAGCGGGTCTAATATGAATAATGACCCTTATGTATAAATGACCCATTTCTCATAGTGTGGAAATATTTCCCAAATGCCATGTATCCGGGTCAAAAAGAAGCATAAAAAGAAGAAGAAAAATAACAACGATCGAAAAAGAGAAAGGAGAAGACAAGTAAATGAACAAAAAGAAAGAGGAACAGACTTTAAAAATGTTACCAACCATAATAGTGAATAATTTGATATTTTAAACATTTGTTCTAAGCTGCTCAACCCCCAATTGTTTCATACTATATATTTGATAGCTTAGAAGTAGACCTTTATTCAATTTATATTGGTCAGTTTTAGCGTACAACTATCATAATTTACTTATAGTTTAAATTCATTTGGTTCGGTAGCACTGTAAACTGTATTATAGCACAGCAGACTCATTCATGGGCTAATATATACCACTCTCGTAGGCTGGCCTGATTAAAACTCATTTTCGGACACATTCGAATCGTGTCAATTGAGTTGATTAATATTGTCTGAAATACAGACTACTAAACAACAACAACGTATTCGTGCTTAATTCTCACGGTAGCTCAAAACAAATTAATGAATCATGAATAGCCAAGCAATTATACTATAATTATTACGCTTATACTGCTTTCAATCTGGCTTCTATCGGAGTCACATCGATGAAAATACCGATTGAATTTAAATAATACACTCTTTATGTTGTATAGCTCCCTCTCATGGTCAAGATATTAATTAAGCTATAAAACAATGTTTCTTGACTAAAATCGACCGGTTAGCTATTCCCGTTTGGAAACTATATATCACAACTACATATTCTGAGATTTTGGTCGCAGCTACCATTGTACGGCCGTAGGCGCTATTTGAAATTTTATCAAAATTTACCGGAAGCACCGGTAAATTTTTATATTCAATTTTTCTCGAAAGCTGGGTTTTGGGGACTAAAATTTCTAGTGCTTATAAAACATCCACAGGGGCATCCAAATATATCAAAATAGTAAAGAATCACTATTTACCCAATTTTCAAAATTTCCCAAAACTTTGTATTACCTTTAAGGTTGTTGAAAGAAATATACTGGAAGCAGTCTAGGGATGTGATGTACCATTTTGAATCATGTTTGCACATATAGGAAAGTTCGTCTGTTCAGCATTTTACACATCAGTTAAATGAGTTTTACTTGAAGTTGGAAACAAAAAACTAGAACAAAAATATCTTCAAATATTTGAATGCTTCTTTTTTCTTGCTTTATTCAAGTTTATCTGTGCAGGGAACAAAGGTATTAAGGCCAAGATAGGGCAGATGGCGAGCACGGAAGAGTTTCCAACAGAGGGGGTTGAGGCACTAGTGGAGGGGTTCAAAGCTGCCACCCAGATACCAGAAGTGACCATCATCCCTGACTCTGAGTCCCAGTCCGACAACACCCAACCAGACAACACCCAGTCCACCAGCTCCCAGTCCGACAACACCCAGCCAGACAACACCCAGTCCACCAGCTCCCAGTCCGACAACTCCCAGTCCATCTTCACCCATTCCGATAACACCGAGCCACACCACACCCCGCCACTCATGAGCAGCACACCAATCCCCCGGAAAAGATCCAGAAAGCAAGGATCTTCTGAGCGTGGCAAACGAGCCAGATCCGAAAATAACAAGGAGAACAGCTTCTCCGTTGAAGCAAAGTGCAAAGGTGAATTTCAAAGTTTTTTTTTTTTTAATTAAAAAAAAATTCTTTAGCCTTAATTTCATTCATACGATCAGTTGCCTTGTTTAAACCTCAGTAGATTGTACAGATGTATTTGACCAATTGGAAATAATTATCATAATTCCTACAGAAGACACGGACCAAACATATTTGTTTTTTTGTTGTGATACTTTTAAACCTTGACCTACTTACACAGTTTGTTGAACTTAACCAATATTCTCTGTCAAGGAAGTACAGTTTTAATAATATTGGGCATGTAGCCCCTCGGAAGTCTTCAAAGTCTTCAAACGTGCAAAGCTAGACAAAGGGTATGCACAGCCAGATCCACATTACATTTTTTATATCAGAATGTGGAATGAAATAACCTGTAGCTATTTTGTGCGAAAGATAGTAAGATTTGTCTCCCAAATTGTTTTGATGATCTTAGTGTCACCACTAGTAGTTTCCCATAGATTCAACTTCCAATTTTGTTATTGTATCTATGAACATGATTATGAGGTTTATTTCAAAAACATGAAATATTTGATCAGCCACATAATTTCACCCCCCCCCCCAAAAAAAAAAAAAAAAAAAAAATCAAACCATGTTAAGTTTGCTTATCAGATCATCCAAATTAAGTATGCAACTTCAAAACTGAATGAAATTGGCTTAATATTAGAAAATTTGATATCGGATTGATGCTGAACAAGTTAATTCGGCCAAACTAAATATCAAAACAATATTGGACAAGTCTTTGACCTGTTGGCATACCTCATCCAATATTTCCTTGTATTGACCTCAAGGCCATCCAATATCATATAATTAATTTGCTCTAAATATGTGTAACATCACCTTTTCTATTCCTAGATTCTAGGGCATATAGCCATTCCCCATTATTCAGTGAACTATTGTGTATAGAAAGGGGAAAAGACACATTTACATCATCATTTTTGTTCTCCCTTGCAAAGAAATACTTGGAAAGTATGTCTGGTGTCGTGTTGATTTAGCAGAAAATGCTTATTAGGTAATTATAACATATTTACTTGATTCTTCCTGATTTCAATAGGACTGTTCAAAGTCTTTGTGGACCAGTTGCTGAAAGCCCCAGAGGGGATGCTAACAAAGAAGGTGTCAGAAGACCAAGTGAACAACATCAAAAACATTCTCAGGGATAACAAGCCAGGTCAGCTACCGCTCATCCCTGTAATGGCCACAGGACCATGGCCTGGCAGAGTGTCCCCCCAGGACAAGTTTATAGTCCTGGGTGGATACCCACTGTTTATGGCAGCCAAGGATCTGTCAACAGATGTGAAGTAAGTGAAAGTGCACTATTTAGTTATATATCTCGCTAACCTGTTAATTCACTGTAGGGTTGATGACGTCACACAACATTACTGCATATCCTTGCGATATGCAGAGTATAACCTTGAGATCACCAACATATACCCTTTTTATATTCAAATATTCAACATGCAATTTCTTGAAAATAGAATAAAGCCCATTATTAAAGGCAAATTGCTTTGGCCAATAACTTACTGTAGATGAATTTTATGTTTTTACTTCCAGTGGTTGTAAGGAAAATTGCATTTTGTTTTTTTAACGGAAAAAAAAGAAGACTTTTCTCAGCAGGGCATCGTGGATGGGTGTTGTTACTCTGCATACATTGTATAGGTAGTTTTAAATTATTTTGTAAATTTACATGTACTTCTAAATCTCAATTTTGCTATTTTCAAGTTATTCTCTTTCTTGAAAAGAAGAAAAGGCAATGTCCACTTTTCATTATCCTCTCGCTGACGAAGTCGGAGGGGATATAGTAACGCACCGTCTGTCCTTCTGTAACAAATCTGGTTTCCGATCGATAACTTAAGTAATGTTTGATAGATTTAAATGAAATTTGATATGAAGGTACATTGGTATCAAAATACAGCCTAATTTCGATTTCAGATTATGTAGGTCAAAGGTGAAAGGTAGCTCATTAAATATGCGAAAATACCAAATTACATGTATATATGCGAAAATGTGGTAATTTCCAAGCTAGTAATATACTAGTATAGTCCAAAGAAGGTAACTAGTTCTGACGTACTGTATATAGGCCATTTGAACCCTGCAAGCTTAGAGGGGATGCTACGTATGCTTTGCGTTGACTTGTTTAATAGAATTACCCAAGTGAAGATTTGCTTGTTCAGGAAATCTGATTTTTCTTTCCTGTTTCTATTTGCATTATTTAGGTATGCTGACTACAGACAGCTTGCAGTAAACATGTCAAGTGAAGTGTACAGAATACTATGATAATTTCAAAAAAAAAATTAATTCACTTATATGCATATTTATGGTAATTTATCCAAATAAGGTCATAAGTCACATTTGTACCCATAAATCATATATTATTGATATTGAAGTCTTCTCTTTCACTACACATATTCATTAGACCATTTGGAATTATAATACAACAACAAATTTGGAAGAGCCAACTTATTCCTTATGTTATCTCTTGTTTTTGATAATTTCTTATGTATTTTATTGTTTCGTTGTTTTATTTCATTTCTGACTACAATTCAACTATTTTGAATCCCAAAACAACCACCTAAACTTTAAACAAGACCCAATAACCAATGTTTGATCTATTTTTAGGAAAAATGACCTTTCCATATGTTTTGTCCACAAATCACGAAAATTAGCGATTTTTGGGCTGACATGCAAAGACAAAAAGTCATGTGACCTTGTAACTGTAGGTCCGATTTTCAAAAAAATAATCTGAAAAATCCTGGAGGGGAGGGGGTCATATTAGGATTAATACCTGTATTGTAACATTGAAACTCGTTATCATGCATCCTTAAAATACATGGAGGTGACGGGCGATTCATCTCTATAGCGTACAAAATCACATGCGTACAAAAAAAAAAAATATATTTAAGAGCAACTAAAGAAATCATCCCGCCAAATTTTTCCTTGTTTGATTGCAGGTACCATTTCAGTACACAATATGCCCTTCATTTATTTACCCCCACCATCAACAAAAACTCAACCATATTTTATGAGGGCATTATCCTTACCTTCATTACTAAAAGAAGCAAAAGAAAACGATCTTCTCACTGGGTTTAAATTTCATTTTTGTTTCAAGTTATGTTCACATGCGATCCTAAGGTTTGAACGGTTTTTACCCCATTAAATCTGGCACATTGTTTTTTTTTACATGCCATTTCAAAACGATGCTGCTTGATAAGGCATGTACTTATGGCATCAAGGTATCATTTGAAAGCATAATACTTGAACTTTATGGAGAAAAGCAAATTAATGTAACATTCCTTTGTTTTAGGTTTAAACAAATATTTCTTTGGACACACTGTATTTTTGAAAATTATAATTCCTACTTGTTCATTTTTTTTACAGTTGTTTTTGCCTCTGCAAGGCCTCGGCGAGGGAGAGATGTATGCTCTGCTATCCGGAGTTGTCAGATCTTTGCATTTTCACCTGTAGATCCATGGTCAGATGATTGAAGTCAACCATGTCAACACGGAGGCCGGGTAGATGTTTTGGCGGAAATGGTTCATACTACAAACCATGCATGTTTCAAATGAATTAACAGGTCGGTCTCAAAACACAATATCTTGTAAAGTCACAGTGAGGATTCGGTTGATATACGATACGTGCATGCATATAAAATATTAGAGAAAAAGGAAACATTTCAATAGATGCTATATAATATGATTATCATTTTAATGAGCAAATATCATAATCCCATAGACTTATTACGTAATCTACGCCTGTATAACAACAGGTAAGAATCAAAATGCCATTTACCAAGGAAGGAAAGAATATTAAATTTTAGGAATTTGACCGGACACAAAACACCATATACGTGAACAAAATGTACCAACCTGCATAAATACAAAAGGTTTATGCGTGACATTAACCTGGCTTGTGATATTATAAGTTTTTTCACGTCTTCATGTATTTATTCATTTAATCAATACAGTAGTGTATATCAACGCATTGTTGTGTATATGGTGTGTTTTAACGGTGTAATTGTGTATTAATTCAAAGTTGTTAAGATTTACACCTTCATATGCCTTCAGTTTATTGTCCTACCTACCGTTTAAGGATTATAAACAAACTCACCTGTTACCTCCTTTATCAACGTGATAAATTGTTTGAAATAATGAAGATTCGTCAGGCTGAAGATAAAAATGAGAAAATAACCTGATTCAAAATCATTATTTTGACGTGGTGATGATTGAAGTTTGAAGTTTTTATTTATTCCACATTTTACATAGAAAAAAAGTTTATATTCTTTTCTTTTTGTATACAGGCTTATATGAGAATAGATTAAAGGGTAAGTGATAATAAAATGCATACAATTTGATACTGCCAAACGCCTCCTACCAAAGGCCACCGTCACAATAAAAGATATTCGATGTATTTCTTATACACTACAACGAAGTATTCTTAGTGCAATGCAAAAACCAGGGTCTTAAATTTCTAACACCAGCACGGAATTGAAAAAAAATACCCTTGTTGTTAATTTCACGCGTCCGTTCACGTCCGTTCAACATCAACAGAGAGTTGAAATATTTAATTACAGGTTGATGTTCCGATTCTTGGTGTTATGGTGTTGAACTCGCGCATGCGCATAAGTTAGTGGATTCGAGCAAAATCATTGGACGACAGTTGTCATATGATATGACGTCCTATCGTGCATGCGCATGCGCGAGCTAGCTGTCAAGAATCTTTTGAATTGAATTGAATATGAAGGAAGTCCCTTCGTTTATTGACCATTTAAAACAACAAAATATACAAAACAACAATACAATAGAAGAATGATATCAAATAACAACAACAAACAAAAGTAATAATGGTCAGGGTCCCTGAGAAGCAAGACTGCTTGTAGTCGGGACCCTATATACAAGTACATTATAACATTAATATAAATTTAAATGCACACGCACGCATAACAAGCAAGCAAGCACACACACACACACACACACACACACACAAACACACGACAGAATGGAGCAAAGATATAAGAGGAAGGAAAAATACAAGATAAAGAGCTACGAAGAGAGATCGAGATTATTTAAAGAACTGAATAAACGTAACTTACACAATACTTTAAATCTGGATAGTGTTGTGCTATTTGTAATGTTACTACTTAACAAATTCCATTCATACACCCCTGTGAATCTAATTGAATTGCGAACATAATTGAATCTAGAGAAGGGTTTATGTAAATCTTGATGTTGTCTAGTTAAATGAGTGTGGAATTTTGAGTTTGTTTGAAACATGTTAGAAAAAATCTCTTCGGGATATCGTGGTCATGGAATGTTTTGTCAAGGTCTGAATATCCTATTTCATCAGCGCAATCATGTCGTTAAGTGTGAACATTTGTTCTGCAGACAGAAAAGTTAGAAAATCGTTACCACTAAATCCAACAGACATCGCAGGATTCTTTGAATTGAGTGTTAAATCATTGGTATTGATTTTAACAAAAAAAAATCAGGATTAAATTCTACACACCACTGGTGTTGAAAGAAATGGTGTTGGATTTTTTAACACCAAAACTAGAATTGAAATTTAACACCAAGTTGAAATAATGGTGTTAGATTTTAACACCAAAGGCGGAATTACTTCAACACCAAGAGTGAAATTGAATTGTTTAATTCCAAACCCTGGTGTTAAATAACACCAGCTGGTGTTTTCCGATATAGATACCGGGATGGTGTTAAATGTAACACCCTTGTTTTTGCAGTGTGCACTAAGGTGTGCGCTGTCTTCCAAAGGCGTTAACCGCTAAACAGGGCCATTATCTCGCCTTCCATTAACATGCAGGCTAAATAGTTTCTGCTCTCTTTGCAGTATAACGAAAACCTCTAACCGATGTAAAAATACAATACTTCCACATGCAAATATTTGACTTGTTGTAAGTTTGTTATTTTCAAGTACTTAAAATCAATGTTGACCCCTTCAATGAGCACCCTCCCTAGACGAGAAGGAAATAAAGAAAATGACGTGAAATGATCTTCATGTATATAACAATAATTTGCTATCTTTGACTCGAACATGTAAAGTTTTAACATTCGAAATTCCATGTTTTCACTCTCCGTCACTAAGACCTCTTGTACATCTATTAAAAGGCCGCCAAAGTCGAGGTTTGGGGCAAATGCTAATCTTGAAAAAAGGAGATAGGAATTCATTTTCCTCGTACTCGCTAAATAATATAATTAGTATATGGACTAACTTTAACGCTCAAAAATACAGATTCAAGTTTCCAAAATATCTTTTTTTTTTTTATTGCTCCTGGTTGCTATGCTACCTCGAATGTTAATAGATGGAAAATATCTTATTAGTGGTTCACTCTTATGAAGGGGTTATGTTCAATCTCATTCTCATAATTTGGAAGTAGTCTGTACGTCTAGTACTAGTTAGGTTAATCGTGATTACAATCTTAAAAGCTTTAAAGTCATATCATCGATAGTACTGTAGAGAAATTAGGCATATTCCATCTATGGTCATTCTGAAGAAAAGTTAACTTAAAAACCGATGATATCCCATTAAGCTTGTGGATACTATTCATGACGGTGCTCCTTCTATTCCTTCCATTATAACCTTACCCTGCTAGCTTATAATGCATAAAAGGTGATGAACACAACAATGGATAAAGGTGTATATACAAGAAGGCAAAGTATAATTCTTTGATCGAAAATAGTCAAACGCTGCTATTTGAACATTTTATTTTTTAAGAAATCGGATTTTTTCCCCCTTGTTTTGATGGGGCGGGGGTATATGCAAACAGTTATGGGGCTTTCACATATACACTCCGGGCCCCGTACGGCGAGTAAAAACAGACATTTTGGGAATTTTCGGCCGGTGACCGGCCGACTGCCGTAAAGGTCCTACGGGCGCCGGGACAGTTTTCGCCGTACGGGCGCCGTGGTGCTGAGTTGGCTGCTCCCAATTCTCCCGGCGTTTTTATCTGACCGTAAGGCCGTATAAAGCCCGTAAAGGGCCTGCAGGGCATCTTACGGGCCCCGTGCGGGCTCCGGACGGTGCCCGGACGGCCCCTCACGATTTTTGAGGTTCAATTCTCATGAAAAATCTTTACGGCCGCCTTGCAGTGCTCAAGGGTGCCGTACGTGTACCGTACGACTCCCTCACGGGCCCCTCCAAGAGCCCCGGATGATATGCACAACAACAGGCGTCTGCCCTCCGGGGGCCGTTTGAAATGAATATTGCCCGTGCGGGTCCCTCACGGCGGCATCTCAAAATGTACAACGCAGCTTTAAATACAGGAGGTGTGGATGACAGAGGACACATAGTTCAGCGCACCGCACGTTACCCGGCCGGTCGCCTTGAGGACCCCGGTCGGGCCCCGGCAGAGCACCTTCCGGGAGCCATGGGTGCACCTGCTCATCAGACGGAGCCCGTAAGCTTACCCGCCGGCACTCGGCCGGCACCCTGCAGGCACCATTACGGCGCCTTGCATTTCACTCGACCAATTTTCTCCGGGCACCTCCCGGGCGCCGCAGAATATGTGACTGCACATGCCGCAGAAATGAAAATCGGAAGGTTTCCATACACACAGAGAAAAGTAGGTGAAAATTGACTCTCTATAGGGAGTAACTGCTTGTCGCATAAGTGACACCCCTCAGGGAGTAAATTTACTCCCCAATGTAGGGAGTAAATTACTTTTTTTCATAAGAAGGTGTAAATTTGCACCCCAAGGTTATGATTGTTCTCCCTTTAAGGAGTGAAATTTGCACCCAATGGTGCTCATTAAACACCTTTTGGTTCCATTTTCATGAAAAATGGGTTCAAATTTACACCCGTGTGGTTGAATTTTATACCCTTTATGATCGATTCAAAACCCGGTGGGGAGTAAATCTACACCCTTTTTATGCACAGCATCAACCAATTCGTCGCTGTTTTCACGAAGTGACGGTAGTGAAAAAAAATTGCATTCACTTTGCGTTACGATTTTCCTCGCTACCGTCACTTCGTGAAAACAAGGACGAATTGATCATCCCTCGAGCAATCAATCATCCATGCTTCGTAATCACCTAACAGTCACTGATTCTCACCCTTTTGTCTACGTTTCACTGCTCTAAAAAGTCAGACCAGAATGTCGAGTTATATGTTGAAAGACTTTAATGCTCACCTAAACAACAATTAGTGTGAACTCAACACAAGTGCAGACTGTAAGAACTAACTTATGGCTGGAGTTATCGGTTCAAATGTAATGGAATTACCTAAACAAACAATCCTGCCTTACCGAATTTATTCCCTTTACTTACACGTATAAGAAGACAATTATGTACTAGTTAGTAAAACAACACTTCTGCTAACTTCATTAAATTATCAGATATAACCCTCGGTACAACCCCTTGTTCTTGATCAGATAACTTTCACACAAATAATATACCAAAATGAAACATTATAATTCCCCTAACATGACTAAAATATGTGAATTATGCTTTAAAAAAAATTCATTTGGCAGTACCTATATTGACAAGATGAGCCATTGCTGTAGCGCA